GGGGGGGGGGGGGGGGAGAGAGGAATCAAAGCTCGCTCAAGGAGAGGGCATGCGAAACTGTATGTTTCGTGTTTGCTGATGCGAGGGGCGTGTCAGGGCTGGCTTTGGCGCGGCGCCAGCCCGCTTGTGTTCGCTCGCCAGCTTCCACAATCGGTGGAGCACGGGTTGGCGGAGCGCCTAACCCCGGCGCCTTGCACGCCTCAGCGTCGCAGCAAACAAGGCTTTCCATGGAGGGATGTAGTCAGTAGACACTCTGGTCATTCACATCACACTTACAGCTGCGGAAGAAAACTTGAAACAGTCAGAAAAACTTATGGGCTGGGAATTTCTTTGACTTGTGGATAGGAATCGAGTCCAATAGAAAGCAAACCAAACTCATAGGCGTTAGATGGTTTTTTTTCTTGTCGGATTCCTGCTATCTGTTTATTTTCCACTGTACTGCTGTCGAATAAGAGCTGCGGAACTGTTGAAAACGAGATTTTGTAGCTTGTTCTAGTTTTTTTATGGTTTTTTTTCCGCAGCTGTAGCTCTGCATGAAAGAGTGAAGCGCATCCGCTCTTAGGCAAAAAAAAACTGTTGTATCATGATTGATCTCATGAAGTCGTCCTTTTTCAACTGACCTTTCTTGACAGATTAGTTACTTGCATGCGGCTCACGTAGCTCAGCGTCATGCTAATGAGATGAAGATGGATGCTATCAAGACACTTTATATCATTGGGTACGTTCTTCTCGGATCACACTCAGCTTCGCTCAAATCATATTGACAATCTGCATCGAATATTTAGTGATAACCCTATGTCTGACGTGCTAGGCGCAAAATTGTTCGATCGTTACCTTCGACATGGTGGTCGTGGGCGATTTGACCATGTGGATCTCGACCTTCTGGATCAGGAGGAAAATGATGCCCCCACTATTCGAACCAGGCACGTAGTCGACAGATGCATGTCGATACTAGTGGAGACTGGGGTCTATAAAGGTGAGAGCCGTCAGGATCCATCATGATTTCTCATTATCTTTTTATAATGCTTGTTGCTTTCTTGCCCCTTGAGCTTGGGTGGAGCGATTGAGGCTTTGTTTGAAAGCCACCAGTGCTTGCGCACTGTAGAAACGCGAGCGTGACGTTGGGGTTACTAGCGGGGTTTCCTACGCAGCATCCGCACCAGAACTCAATGTACTCAACATGGCAGCGCTGCTGTGATGAGGTCTAACAGTCAAGTCGTAGTGGCCGTGACTGGTAGGTAACGCTCCACACAAGCGATGACTCTTACTGGTCTCTATGAGGCATACGCTCCACGGGCGCGGCAAAAATGAGTCGTCACGCGCCGCGCCAAAGGTCACAGAGGTTGGGGCGGCGTTCAGACTTTGCTATGACGCGCGTCGTACCACTGCAGTGGCGTTCCAGTAGACGGGAACGTAGCCGCAGACGGGTATCAATCGGCGCCTGCCGCTTGTTTTCCGAGAGAGCGTAGGACAACAGGATGGTTGGCGCTGTTCACACAGTCTGGTACCAGTCGACACCGGCCGCTAGTTTGGAAGAGTCTAGAAAAATAAGAAAGTCCCAGGCTGTGTGAAATAAGCGCCACACCCCCTCGTTATGCCATCTACTGTTTACGCGCCATCGCGAACTGAGGTCTACTTGGCGAAGAGGAAATCTGGAGTCCAGTGCTGCCGTTGTTATCGAGTGGTCACCAGTGAAAAGGTTATGGCTGTCTATAGCATTGGAACTCGTATGTGGCCCTTAATTTGAACAGTGATTCTACAACGAAGAAAGTTTCTCAAAACGTAGAGTATTTTGATTAATTTCGGCACAGTGCAGTAATCCCAAACTTCCCAAATCTGCTTTTCCTTCCCCACACACTCTATCCCGAACAAACTTGTTGTGAACTTTTAAAAAATAGTCACTCTCTCGACCTCCTGCTAATTTTACAAGATTTCGCCAATTAGTACGCTTCATCGCAGCGACGGAACGCTTCATTGCGCAAAACGAACGTTCAGATAAACATGGTGATTTTGCAGAAGGTTGTCACGTCAACGGTTTGGTACAGCCAGTATCGATGCTGATCGAAGATTTGTCTCCTGGCGAACAACTCGCACTCAAGCAACCCGATTTCGTCGAAAATGATTTCTACTCTGCTATTCAGATGATAATCTCAAGAGAAAGATTTCGTGTTCCAGTGTGAGTCAGTAGACGACTAAGATGTCTTCCTGTAGAGTTCCATGCTTGAGTATGAGATTTCATCTGAATTCCTGATGGCAGTGATGTTCTGCTTGCTTGGATGGTTGTCTAGTTATTATTTAGATGGTTAATGGTTACTGTCCATATTCATAGGTTGTGATTTCAATAAGCATGTGATCTACTCTTGATGTGTATAGTACATAACTTCATAATCAGTCGGGCGATGTCAGGAGAGGTGGAGTGAGCCCGCTCCTGTTGCCTTTTCAACCAATAGTGATCGGGTGCTGATCGATTCAGAGGGAAACCAATCAGTGGCAATGCGCCGTAAGTGTGGTCGCTCCTTGCCTACTGTGTATGTAACACCACTCCGACTGATTGCGAGTTATCAACCGTATTTATTTCCCGCCTTGCATTTCGTCACTTTTCTGTTCACTTTTATCAGCAATGGTTGTCCTGGTCGTGATATCATTGTGATTACTGTAATGCTCAATACTATCGGTTCGCCTGCTATTCCGCTCCTGGAGTTAACAGACTATGGAACTAACATGCAAAATGCAATCCAACCTCTTGATATTCTGCTTAGAAAACTTAGCATTCGTTAGTCAGACGAGCACGGGAAAGTGATGTTTGTTAAAATGAACCTTTTTACTTGCTTTCAATCTTTAAGCACAAGCATTTGGTTCGAAATACTTCACGAGGATTGCATGAGAGTGGCCGGCTGAGACACTTGACGGCAGCGTCAAACATTAGCTGATGAGTGTATTTATGTCTATCGTGCTGGAAAAGCACGTTTTCTTTGCTCTTTGTGAACTTCGTCACTCACGACTCTTGTAAGACCCCCTGATACAACTTACATATTCCCTCGAATGCAAAAAAACGATATCTGTCTCCAGTATCTGTTGAATTAGTAATCGTCTTAAAAACAGCATTATTGAGTTCCAGTCCGAATATCGCTTCCCCGCTTTGGGGCCAGCTTTGTCGAATCTTTAATAAGATCGTAAAGTACACATACATTGCGCTTTTCATACAAGATATTGCATTGTCGTGATCGATCTTGTTCGTTTAATGCAAACATTTCAACTGCTTCCTCGGACTCACAGGCTCTCATCATTTCCGAAATCACGTGAACAAAATGCTTGTCACTCATTTGTCTTACTCTTTAAGTGCATAAAGCTAATGATCTGCTAACTGGTTACATGTAGTATTGTTAATATCCTTTATCATGGAAATCCTGTTTTCTCTGCTCTCATATGCTCCGTGACTCATGTATGTAGAATGAGTTTAATCCGTTCCTGATCGCTTCTCTACAGGGCACATCGTTGTTGGGCGCTAGAAGAGTGGGGGAGGTAGTATTTGGGCTGAGAAAATTTATTTTCAGTGTTTCACAGACGTTGTGAGGGGGAGAGGTCGTATTTGTTCGTTGTTGGGAGGGGTGGGGTCGTAATTCCCTTCTGAAGCAGAAGGTTGCTGACTTTAAAACTTTTCCCGATTTTTCCTGTTTCACATGTGCTATTTACTCCACCCCCCCCCTCTCTCGACAGGTCCGTGAGGAGGGAATCAGGGGTCGTACCTAAAAAAGGGGGGTGGATCGTACGGACTCGAGCAAAATCCCCAACCTGGTGTGCCATGTGTCTGCCATCATTCACTTCTAGTGCTTCTACCATTTCGACGTCTCCAGAGAGGGCAGACATCCTACCCCAACAACAGCCTTCCTCAGGGCCACATTTCATTCACTGGTGAGACTGCAAATAAAAGTGCTATAACGTGATTGCGACAGTGAATAAACATAATTCAGTTAGACCTATGTTATACTCCACTGAAAGCCGAAATTTCACAAAGGCTAGGCCTTCGCGAAGACGTGGCATCCAGGAGTGCCAACGCTGAAAAAAATCCCTCAATTACCTATTGACTGGCTATGTGGTAACACATGACCCAATGGTATTTCGGGTGATCATATACTGTACATAACGCTCCTACCAAACAAATCTTAGCCTTTTCAAGCATTACTTCGTTTCACTAAAAAGCTTGCTAAGGGAAATCCTAATGAATCACCAATCGAGCGCGCCCTTGATCTGTAACATTTTCTACTTGAATTCATACTAAGACTCACAGTTTTCATACCAATTTCACCACTTCTCATTTCATCATTTCAGGTTTTTTGTTCTTTGTGTACATTCATCACGGGCCAGTGATTAGGGCGGTCGGTCAAGGCGCAGCGCTTGCAGGAACTATTTTTGCTTTTCCAGGCTAATTTAGTCACTTTTTGAAGATAAGGAGCTGCTAATCTGGGAAAAAGTAGCCAAAACAGTGAAAAGTTGGAAAAAATGACTAAATTAGCCTGGAAAAAGCAAATAGTTCCTGGCACGCGCTGCGGCCCGTTGACGACC